GGTTGATGGAAAATGGTTTTGTGTTGAGGGTAATGAGAAGACCAAAGTTAATTGCTTTATATGTTTCATTTTATGGCCGGTCTCTCGACACTTTTTCAACAATTAATATTATACTATTTCTATTACTATAATCTAGCTAGAGCGATTTATATAATTGGATAGATAATAAATCAATCTTACGGTTACATATTGAGGATTCGAAAGGAGAAATGCAGAACGGAAAAGGTGTGAGCGTAAAAAAATATGGAGCAGACGAAATAATTAAAAAAAATGTACATATGTATCAGTAAATGCAGAACGAACGAAATAGTAACAAAAATTTATTATATTCTTACTATTTCGCCTTCTCTATACTATATTGTTTCTCATCAAATCATGAGTTGTTTTATTGATTAATTAGTAATTTAGTTCATATGTTTTTTTTTTTTTTGCAATAGTTGATACTTTGTTAAAAATAGAGATTAATGCGTATGCATATCTAGAATGCGTATTACCAATACTTTGTTAAAAATTAGTACAGTCTAGAAAGTGTATGAATTATTGAATCTATCTGTTGATTTTCCAATCAATCACTGTTCTTGTCAGAGAAATTTCTCGTGGGTTACTCAGTAACCAATTACGTAGCCATGTTTTGGATATTATGGTATTTAAATGGTAATAGATGAAAACCTATTTCCCGACAAATCTATGGGCGTTTTCTAAGTTCAAGAATTAAAAAGTAGCCGCTCATCAATACATTTCTCTGATAAGTTTTTCTTCATAAAATTAAATTGGCGTTATAAGAAGAAAAGATAAAATTAAATTGGCGTTTTGGGAGGCCAAAGAAAATAAAACTGAAAATTGAAACACTTTTCTTTCTTCATTTCCCCAATACTAGATCGAGATTGCGTAACACCATCATTATCCAAGACACTTTATAAGTGTTTTAAATAATTTTTTAATATTAAAAATGTTTTAACACCCTAAATAAAAGGTTCATTATTAGTTCAACCCATAGAACTTTTTAATGAAAGATTCAACTAATTAAATAATTTTTTAATCATTTTTAGTTTTAAAACACTCATAAAATTGTCTCCATTAATGATATCCTAAGTATATACTTTTAATTTAAACTGTATATCTATACAACGACAAAGGCTTCGACGCTCATTTAAGTGAGGGGACATCAAGTTACGGCAATATGGAGGTTTTTTTTTCCAAATGTGTTTACAGTTTTACATTTTTCTTTGTATGTTTTAGATTCATTTTGTTATTGTGAGTGTTAATTATTGGTTGATAAAAAGTCATTACC